CTGCTCTCACCCTGACAGCTGTGGTGAGCTCTGCTCCACAGCCCTTGTAGCTGCACTTTCCTGACGGTGTGCATGAGCGAAAAATACAGCATGTGAGAAAGAGCTGGTTTTCAGGCATGTTTGTCCCGTAATTGGCGCTTGTGAATACATTTTTGGAGAAGGTAAGGTAGATCTGGCACACATCTGTCAGAGAAGTTAAGACAGCTTGCTTGTCTGGTGGGATAGAGGAAGAATGGTGCTGGCAGCAGAGTTCCTTTCACCCTGTAAACCTTTTCAGGGTTGGCAGAAGCATGGAAGAAGAGAGAAGGAAGTTCTTTTTTTAAATTCTTCCTGACACACATTCTGCCTCTCCTCTTCCTTTGTCTTGCTAACTTTTTCCCTCATCGCACAGTGTTTGCATGTGGGGAATGGTGAGATAACACAGCATAGACTAACTAATGGTAATTTACTACAGATGTGTCATGTATTTCTAATTTGGGGCTTTCCATGCTCTGTAGAGGTAGCTCAGAATAGAACTGGATGCTCTTTGAGCATTTCCTCCATCTGTAAGTATACAGCAAATGTGTGCTATGTCACATTTTCTGGGACTGCATGGTTATAAAGGAAAGACCCACTTACAGTGCTCTTCATGCAGCCAAGGAAGTCCTTGTTCCTAAATGGCAGCTGTGTTTAACTTTTTCTGACTATAATAAATACCTACTGAGCCATTCTTTTTGCCTTTTTTTTTTCTTTTTTTTTCTTTTTTTTTTTTATCACAGCAATCTGGGTTTAGTGTCGCTGTAATCTCGCTTTGTTGTTTAATGACAATCAAATGATTCCCATACAAGCCTAGGGAGAATCTATGCTAATACCATTAAAATGTGCTTACTGAATCAAAACAAATGCAGCATTAGCATGTGGAAACTGTGTTTATGTGATTATAATGTTTCAGCAATATGAGATTACTGTAGGAAGCAACTAATCCAAACCTAAAGAGACTTCCCATTACAATACCATTAAAATGACATGACTGAAGCGCAGGTTTCAGATGGGAAAAGCAGGAACACGAATCTTGTCATCAGTATTCAGGCAAAGCATCTATTGAACTCAGTGGAGTTTTTACCAGTCAGGAATGCAGTACCAGGACCTTTTTAGCAGCAAGTCTCTTTTCTCTTAACAGTAACCCTAGGAAAAACATTTACTTCACCAGTATTTAATAGTTGGCTAATGGTGAGAGTCGTATTTTATGCACCATACATACAACTGGTTGTAAAGATTTGTCCAGAGTTTGTTACAGAAATGTTGATGTATATTTTCAAGTCTGTTATAAAATAATACAAGTGTTGGTTATATTTTAAAGCAATTGTAATTTTCTTTTTATCTGAATATGTAATTTTCAGGAAATACCATTTATTTCTCTCTTTATATAGTACCTGGAGCAGAGACGCCTTGGTCTGTGCAGGAGCACCGTGGCAACACCACAGCATAAACTAGTGATTTCCTAAACCAAAATACCTGTTACTGGCAGGTAAGAGCTACCTATTTATTTTCTGTCATAGGAATCTGCACCTTTCCCCTTCCCTCAGACTGAGCTAAGATTCAGGAAATATAATTCACATGTCTTATGTAGGACCATCTAAAATACACTTGTGCAGGATTGTTTCTTGGATCCCTTCATAGTCCTCAGAAAGAGGCTGATGCTATAGAAAGTGACTTGTCCTGTCCTATTACAAGCATGCAAAATAGGCTGGATGAGTTGCCTGTGGGTATAATTTTCCATTTGGCTATGAAAACGGTCTTCTGTAGAAGGCATACCTCATTTTAGATGGCTAAAGGAGGTGATATTAATTCAGTCCATGACGTGTGAAAGAAGAAACTTCCTCAGAAGAAAGTTCTGTGTAAAATATGGCGTGCAAGTCATTAGTAAAGCACACAAACATTGATTTCTGTACTAACATATACGTGCTTAAATTAAACAGTCCTTACTCTATTTAGAGTTGCTTGCACCTAAAATCTGTTTTAAAGACACTAATTAAATTTTGTTTCCATCAGGTGAATATTATTAGGAATAATGTATCATTATAGCACAATCAAGGCATTCTGTCTATGTAAATGACAGTAGGGAAGATATCAAGACAATGGTTTTAAAAATAATTCCAGTCACAGGTTGTTGGCTGTCTTTGTTTTTCATATTTTTATTAAAAGCTGTGGATTTCTAAAAGTGTGTTAGTAAGCAAGTGCAGACATTAATATTAATCATATTTTTCATGCAGATAAAATTAGGCCTACTTTAAATGCTGTTAGTGTCAGTTTCTGTTTTTGTGATGCTGCTTGTATTTATAAAAATCCTTGGCCTCAATCAAAAGGTTCAGTAGTAGACATTGGTTGTGTAAACTCTGTAGTTATAATCTGAAATCTAGAATCTAAGAATCAATGGATTGGTATCTGCTATAAGAGAAACCTTCCACTGGAACTGGTAATTTTAGATCTTCTTTTGCTGCTATAAATCAGAAGACAGCAGCCTCAGACTATAAGATGATCTCACACCTGCAACCATAGGTCTTTGGAGCGGGCAGGCCAGGCTAAATGAGGGTAGTTTAAATTAACTGTGTTGGAAAGGAATGAGTGGGAACAAATGTTGAAAGTCAACTTTTCATCAAAGTGGTAACCTCAAACTGGGCAAAAATTCACGTTCTATTTTTTAGTAACTGCAATATTAAATAACAAAAAAACTGAAGTGGAAATTTGTTAAGGAAACAGACTGCAATCAGTTTGTGTGAACAGAACTTCAGTACTTACGTATTTGATTATATAACAAAATATTTATATAGGTTTGTTTTCCCAGCTTGGATTTGAAATGCATTTGAAATTCCTAAATGAATTTGAAAATTGCCAATGAACAGGGGCAACGAAAAGCATGTCTCCAATGCAGAGAGTAGTTATCACTCTTTATGCTGTCAGGGTTTTACTGAATACCAGAGTGTAGATATGTAACATTAAAAAAAAAAAAGGGGGGGGATGGGGGGGGGAAGCAAATGTAACGCAATTATCTTAGACTTATGTTAGTCTCCTTGCTGTGCATCTAAGAATGACTCAGATCATTGAACTTCCTCCAAAATAGTGGGTTGCTCTATAGAGCACCAGCTTTGTTCAAGGATGGAATTAATGACTGGGTTGGACAACTTAATTGAATTGCAGCTAGCAGTATTTTCTGACTAAGACAGGTATTTTGCTTTTGATTATTTGCTCAAGAATAATATTTTCTGAAATCATGCACTTCTTAATTTATTTGGCAAAAAATAAATCATTATATTAATCAGCCAGCAGTCTGTTCTGAGAGTAATTATTTTTCTGCCTTCTCAAACAAGTCAACACACTAGTCTAGATATGAAATTCATAAAAGAACAGTTCTTCCTAAATCTGCTTTTACACAAGGCAGACAGTCAGTCAGTCCTTTCTCTTTGTTATGGATGGCCAAGTTTCCATATTAAAATAACTGCCAGCACTCCAGACATCACTAGGCAGGTGATAGCTGCCTTTTGCAGGGGCTGAGTCACTTTTGTACATTGGTACTCTTGACAATGACTGCTGCTCGTGAGATCAAAGTATCCCCAAAGAGACCTCGATGTTCTTGTGCCCTTTGATATGTAGAGTTCAGTGCCCTTCAGATTTCAGTTTTTCTGGCATTCTGGTAGATTAACTTTAGCAGTTAAAAGAAAAATGTCCTCTGAGGGCACCACCAGTAACAAAACCATATTTATGACATTATTCACTAAAAGGGAGACAGCAATGGGAAAGACCTCTCTCTTTAATCAATAATGCATGCTCTAGTTAGTCCTGTCCTCTGGACATGATTAAACATGTATTTTGTTTCATAACTGATGATTTTGGTTGACTAGGGATTATAACTATATATCCTCAAGCCTTTGCAACTAGCGTCAGGAAGATCTAACAAGAACTGGGTAGTCAGGACTGCCTGCACTCCCGAATGAAAAACCTCCCCCCAAATCTCAGTGATGAGAGCTGCAGCTGATTCTAACCCGGAGTGAGTCAGGCCAAGCTGGCACAGGGCAGATGCCTTTGACTTGAACCAACTGCAGAGAGTAGAGTCAGTGTGTGTCTTTGTCATCACTCATTTCAGATTCTGAGGAAGAACATTGTTTTGTTCGTGTTAAAGATGAAGAAGAATGTCTCTTAAAGGCTGAGCTGTATAAATTGTTAGGTTAAGGTCTGTTCTTAACTGGTGAAATATCTGGCCTGTGAAGCTGATGGGAAAAGCTCTTTGGCTTCTCCCTCCTGGTTGGGGGCCACCCTGTATCTTCAGCAACTGATGTTAGCCTTGAGGAGTTGTCCTGGGCTATTCCAGACCTCTATAGTGCAGCTGGCAAAACAGCCTGAGATCCATTAAAGCTGAAGGAGCAGAAGATCCTCCCCATCCCTGCGTTCCTCATACAGAGGGGCAGATGAGGTGGCCAAACATCGACAGCTTCTGTGGCATGCACGGGGGACAGTGAGTCTTGGAGGACACAGATGAATAAACTGAATGTACCAGTAAGGAATACTCAGCCTTGGTGCTGAGTATGTTCATCTGATGGCTCAAGCTGACAAAATTTGACAGCTGCTGTTGAGCATAGAATCCTAAATGAACATACAGTGGTTGTTATTAAATAGGAAACATTTATCTCATTGTGGTACTGACTATATCACAATAAATGATGACGATTTCCTTGTACTGGAGTGTGATATGTTTACATTGCTAGAATACTGATACAGATCTAGTTGGGTAAAATAAATGTTTTTCACTTTGAGCACTCTATTGGAAACAGCATTTGAAAACATTTCAAAACATTTCATTCAGTGAACACACGCAGCATGTAGGTACGTGTGTGAGAGAGGAGGGAATTCAGAAATTGTGTAAGAAAGGTTTGCTCTTTCTGAAATGTTCTTGTTTCCTTTCTTCTTCCTTCCCAGACTCTTTTAGAATCTCTTTTTTTTTTTTTTTTCCTTTTTGTTAAAGAAAAATGCCTTCCTTGAGCGGGAGAGCACAGACTGTCTTGGGCCCTGTGGAGCCAGACCACCTTGGCTATACATGGACTCATGAACACTTGGCCGTGGACTACAGCAGCAGTTTTTTACTACTTTCTCCAGGTCAAGAGCCTCTGTCTGATGGGCCCATTGAGATGAAGAACTTGTTTTGGATTAAGCAAAATCCCTACAGCCATAAAGAAAACCTTCTTCTGTATCAGGAAACAGATGCTGTGAAGGAGGAGCTGTTGCATTTTAAAGCAGCAGGTGGTGGGATGATTGTGGAAAACACGACTACAGGAATTGGTTGAGATATGAATTCTTCGAAGAAACTTGCTCAAGAAACTGGAGTCCATATTATTGCTGGGGCTGGGTTTTATGTGGATTCTAGTCATTCTTCTCAAACACAGGCCATGACAGTGGAGCAGGTAAGTCTTAACCATTGCTTCAGTGTCTCTCTCCTATGAATTATCCCTGGGTGAGTTAAAGTTGGAGAGAAATTCCAGCAAAATGGATGAAATCTAGAAGTTCTCAACATGAAAAGCTTGGGAACAGCATTAACTGCTTGGGGAACAGCACTATTTGCATGTGCTGGGATTATTTGTCAGGATTTGCAGTTCTTAAGCTCTATTTTCTCTGAGGAATTTGTTACAATGCAACAGTAAAAAGAAAATAAAGTCCTTCATGTGTGGGTATCTGGTACAACACCAAGTAGCCTATTCTTTTTACATTTTTTTACGGAAGGAGTATATCCTTTCTGCTTCTTCTGTCTCTTTTTCTGGCTAATTGCTTCCCAATGAGATCACCCATGATTCTTGTAAAAATCATAAATAATATTTACACGACAGTTGCAAATCATTGTTCTGCTCAGGCTGTGTGTTGTATCTCTGGTCTGTACCATTTGTCCAGACTTTTCAGGACAGAGGCTACATCAGACTGTTTGTACAGTGCCTAAGACAATGTGTTAATAATGACTGAGGTCCCCAGATATTCCTACAATAATAAATATTCGTTCACCTTTTATTAAGAAAATGTGATGATAGGGAGAAGAGGGAAGGGAACTCTCCAGGGCAGGAGGCTGTGAATGAGATGAACAGAGCTGAGAAAATGTTTTAAAAATCTGTCACAGTTTACAAATGAGACAAATTAATTTTAGAAATCAATGGTCATAGTTTGAGCAGCTCTGTCAGCTACACTGGACCCAAGCTGGCCCAAGCTGTAGGGAACAGAATTACTTTTCCTTAATATTCTTCCATTGTTTGAGATTTGATAACAAATAGATTTCTTGGGGCAAAGGTTTCCTTTCTGTATTTGCTGGACTACTGGAGACCTACAGATGTCCTGTACGCAGCAGGTCACCAATACTTAATCCAGTCCAGAAGACAGTTACTTAGAAAGAGTTGTGCAGTGACTGATCCACAATAACCGGTGGTTCCTCATTTGCCAGTGAATTTGACATGATGTTATGTTTTATGATTAGACAAAGACAATTTGAATATTTTGAGAGATGCTCTTGAGGAGAGGAGTGAATTCTGTATCTGTTCGTCAACAGAAATGGTTGGCAGACTGGTTAGACATGAAGCAGAAGGTGTGTAATTATAGGTTGAAGCATTGGGCAGAAGCCTGCTGTAAATTGTAACAGCTTGAGCTGGCTTTTGTGTGTAGATTGAGTATTTACTAATATGTTGTGTGAGGCTGTTGAGGAGATAAGGTGTGCAGTAGAGATAAGTTACAGAATAATTCAGAAATTGGTTTAGGATTTTTTCAGTTTCCTGGATTTGCTTGCAAACCTTCCTTCTTCCTTTGCTCACTTTATGCTTCCTTGAAATCACGATTTCCTTAAGATTCAGGGTCAAAGGGTTAGGTCATCATCAGTGCCATTTTGTGTTCTTGGTTCTGAATGTATGCTTTAAGATACATGGCCTATTCTGGGAAAGAAAAACTATAGCTTTTATAGCAATCAGTGTTTATTAGGAGATTCTCATGTCTTTTTTGCCTACCAATATTTAAAACCAAGCTAATTTTGATCATGTAAATTTGTCAGCTAAGCTTTGTTCTTGTAGTTCTGATAAGTCAGGGTAGCTCTTGCTGGTTTACATTGGCATTCCCACAAGCAGGATTTGCCTTAAACTTTTCTCCAGCATCTGCCAGTTTTTCCCTTCCCCACCTGAATGACAAGGTTGCCTTATTTTCTGATCTCTTGTGTCACAAGAAATTACACTGAATTGTTTCTGGAGATACTTCAGGAGTGTGAGGCACGGGTTTAAGAAAAATTAGTCTCAGCCTAAATCAGTATTCAGATTACACGTAGACCAGCTTTCTTGTCAAACCTGGACAACTGTGTGAGTGGATACTGTTAAATCAATATGCTTCTGTGTTTATTTTGGTCTTAGTGAATGGCTAGCATAACGTTAATTGACAGAAATCAGATTTTAACGGCTGTGTTTTCACACACCCAGCTCTTAATTAAGTTCAGAAAGACCTCGGGAGTATAACTAGCACAATGTCCGTAGGCCAAATTTGATGCTATTTAGCACAAATAGTATTAATAACAAAAAATCTTATTTTCCTTTTCTCTAGCTTACAGGCATTATTGTTGATGAGATACTCAAGAGAGTGGATGTGACTGACATCAGGTGTGGTGTGGTGGGAGGAACAGGTTGCTCCTGGCCTTTGGCTCAGAGTGAACACAGAGTGCTTCAGGCAACAGCACAGGCTCAGCCACAGCTCGGGTGCCCCGTTATCATCTATCCTGGCAGACACAGCAATGCACCTTTCCAGCCATGTCTCACCTTGGCAGGTAAGTAGACTGTTCTGCTGTCCTTCTGGCAGTGTTGCCACAACCCACAGCAGTTGCAAATAGCTAGGTTTCTGTTGTGCACTGGGATCACGATGTGAAGAATTATCTTCAAGTTTACTGGCTTAAAAATAACTGCTTATATAGAGCTCCATCAGCTTCCAGAACTTCAGTCAGGATCATCTTTAAGATTCACATTGATAAAGAGATTTTGGTATTCTTAATGCTCTCTTTGAAGGCCTGGAGCAAGATCAGGAATAACTGTAGCTGCATTTAAAAAGAAAAAAAAAGGAATTCTATTAATTCATATCCCTGCACAAAAGCATTAGAAATTGATCACCTTTCACCAAATTGGGTGGGAAGCTCTAGGCTTCTGGTATTTTTTAAAACTGCGACACTCTTAAGGGCCTACCAAAATCTCACAAAAGCTAATGGAGAACTGCCTGATTTGGCTGGATTCTATATCAAAGCAGTAGGCAGATCTTTTATGTTCTTCTACCAGACAGAAGAAACACTGCTTAAAAAAGAAAATAGTGGGTTTTGGATAGTTCTTAGCATTGATCAGAGAGCTAACTTTTAGTTTCCTTGAGAACAAAAACCGGGAGCCCTGCATTAGACATGGAGAGGAATTAGGGTGCTTTTCTCTCTCCAGTGTAGAAACACAGCCTCTACTACCAAATCTGTTTTGTGTGACCTTGTGTTGCTCATGGTGAGCTGGAAAATATCCAAGCATTGATTAGTTTGGACAGTTGCTGAATAATGGAGACTGTTTGTGGTCATATGATTCTCAGCAATTGGATTGTTTGCCCTCTATGTGAGTGTAATACAGGCAAGAGAATTGTGCTCCAAATTTCTAACAGTTACAGGCTCTAACAGCTTGCAAATCGAGCTACAGGTGGTTTATATTCACACAGAGATCAATGTTTTACTTGGGAATTTTTGGAGCATAAGATTCAGTATGATGAAATTTTATTTATATTTGATTGTATATGAATGATATGAGCTTACTTTATGTATTTACCTGCATTCCATTGTATCTGTAGCTATATTTTTCTCTCTTTTTTAAAGAAAAAACAATTACTTAAATCTTTTTACAAAAGAGGACTGAGCAAGCTACCTGTGTCAGTACTTATGTAGCCATTTTGATACAACATAAACACACAGTTACGGTTTTTCTCCTTTATATGCTGTTGTAAATCATTGAATTCAGTGATTTATTGGAAACAAATAAGGTGGAAAATAAGCAATATAAGTAGGAAAACAGGCAAAACAGAGGTGCAGTTTCACTAACAGCCGTTGATGCACAGTATGACATTTTCTTACACTCCTTCTATCATTACTTTCACACATTCAGGTTGGCATTTGCTGTAGCATAGACTCTAAACTACTGTGAAGTTTGGCTGTGCAATGTGCACTTAACATTTTAAGTCTCCTCCAGTGAGAAGAATCCACGTGGGAGCATCCCAGTCCCTTAAATGTGAGATAAATTTGTACATAGCTCCATATTTCATGTCTGCTTTGACACAGACAGAATGGTAGTTTTCAGATGGATTTACAATCAAATGGTAAAATTTAAATGCTGGCTAACATGTTCTGCAGTTTAGCATCTTAGAACAAAAGGTAGCAAGTGTCCATAGTGAAACTGTAGTGTAGATAAAGGCTGGGAAGCAGAACCTATTGAGTCTTGGGTTTGGCCATGTGTTAGGGGCCAAGGTCATAAAGGTATCTCAGTATATATCAACATGCATTCACTTGAGCAGCTGTTGTTAGAAGACTCACAGCAACTGTTACCAATGCTTGGTAATGGTTGCTGGGTGTCCCTATGGTGATGTGGGGATGAGGTCCAAACTTACAGGATGTTTCCCTGTGTGCCATCTCCTTTTCCATGTATTCAGGGCTGCTCAGGGTTGTTGTTGCTCAAACCCCTGATTCTAGGACTGACATTAGCAGTTCCAGCTGGGAACTGTTGCTGCTGCTATGTCCATGTGGCTTACAAGGGGATCCAATGGATGATGAAATTAAGCTCTTCTGCTCTTTGTTGGGTCAGAGCAGCCAAAAGCACAACACCAACAATAGTTTTAAGAAGACATTGTTCTGGCTTTGATTTTGAAATACATCATCGGACGGGTTTTGCCACCTGCACAGGATTGAATACTCTTGGCTACCATCTTTATGTGAACTGAGCAGGACTGGATCTAAAATAACCCATTCTCTTGCTCTGCACTTTGAAAACTCATTTGGTGATAAATGTTCAATCTCTGTAAACTGTAACATTTATTTTAAAATAACATTTTTTTATTAATTACAGTTGGCAAATTTTAGACTCCACTGATGGCAGGTTTGTTTCAACAAGGGTTTTCTCGCTCAGCCCATCTGTTCCTCCTACTTGGCCCTGTTGTTAAATCATAATATTGAGATTTGACATCAACCATTTCCATAGCAACAGACTGTGATGTCATTGTAAAGGGTAAAATTACTTTGTGTCATCGATATCTGCAGTGATAAAAAACCTAACAACTGCCCTTTTGGTTAACTGTGCTGTTCTTGTGGACATGTGCTTATTCCTTAGATGAAAAAGATTGTACCGTGGCTATAAAGATAAAATTATAATGTATCATTTGGGTGGTTTTGGTTTTTTTTTTCCTTTGGATAGCTTGTACTCTTGGCAAAAATATTTCCAAGGGGGAAAAAAAAGTATTCTAGAGAGCTCTTACTTCGTTCTTTTCCAAGTGAGTGACAGGTTTTAGTAGTTTTGTTTCTCTTTGTTTCTTCACTTTTCAGATCTGCTGCAAAGCCCAAGTTCCAGGTACTCACAGTGCCATTATATATTTTGGTGAGAACATTTCCTTAAAGCATTCTGGCCAGATCCCAGTGCATACGATATATTGCTGTTCTAATGACAATCTAGAAACATCAGTGTACAGAATAGAAACTAAAGGCAAACTCCTGTATTACTGGTGTGTGATGGATGAAATGAGCCCTGGATGTAGCTGTCTCCTGTAACTCTTTTGAGAAAGTAAATCTGTCTTCTGTAAGTAATCTATTGTCTTTTTTAAATGTCTCTATGAATTAACCTCCTCCTTAAATGTCCTTTCTTGTTAGGTTGTCTATTGAGAGGGTTAGTGATATCAAAAGTAAGTAACTTTCCCATTTCCATTTAAAGATTATCATAAATGTTCTCATTATTTCATGGGGGAAGAATTGGGTTTGTTTTGATTTATTTTGTTTTCATGCATGAAGTCCCAGATGGAGGTGAGAGAGCCAAAGCTGTATATCAGCTTAAGTTGCATGTGCAACACAGGAATCCTGTGTTTCAAAAGGGTGAACTACATCTTAGATTATTGGTTTTGTTTCTTGAAGTAGGAAGTCACAAAATACCTATCTTCTTTTTTCTTCCTGTTATAATGATTTTTTCTTCCTGTTACAATGTAACTTTGTTTTATATGTTCCTCAGGACCGTATCTGATACAAAGAAACTTCTGGAATTTGCTGAACTTGGATGCTATTTAGAGTATGACCTATTTGGTACAGAATTTCTTCATTACCACTTCCATCCTGATGCTGTCATGCCGAACGACAATGACAGAATTACAAGGTATCTGCTTCCATGCCGTTTAAGCTATAGCATTGCCATTGATAGATGAATATTATTGGTACTTGTTTTAAGGCCATCACAGTGATTCTGCTTGCTGTTCAAAATTGCCTTTTTTCATACTAAAATAATGACGTTTTTCCCCTGCTGCTGTCACATTATTAGAGCATGTATAATTTCTTCTGTCTGCAAAGGAAGATGCAGAATCATAGTGTTGTAGAAAGTTACTTGAGAAGAAGATCAAGAGCTTTTTTAACTTCATTCACTGTCCTAATTCTATGCTGATCTGGTTGAGTTTTATAATTTAGTGCATTTATATAGAATGTAGAAAAGGCTGGAGATACTGGATTTATGTTAAGGTTTGTCTTTTGTTTGAAACACAGTATTGGAAACGTGGTGCTTCTGCCAAGTATCATCTGAGCCTGTTACATCTCCTCACAAATGCTCTAAGCCAGCAAAACCCATTGGTTGTCTTGGGTGGATTTGTGCTTCTATCCTGAAAACCATGCTTTTTTCTTCCAAGCACGTTACCATCTCTCCTCCTCCTCCTCCCCTTTTACCCTTTCTCTCTTTTGAAAGGTGAGATTCCCATCTCAGCACTCCCATGCTCCTCACATTTACAATGTGAAAATATTGGCCCCACTGGTGGGATACCTTTTCCCTGCTTCTCATCAGCACATGCAGTCTCAGCTTATCCACACGTCAAATCTGTTGTGCTGTGCTAACACAAGGTATTGCCAAGGAGATGCATTCTTTACAGAAACTGCCAGAGAGAAGGTAGGATCAGCTGGGAATGGGCATCTCACTCCTTCCACGCTGGAGGTGGAAGCCTCCTCTGCTGTTTGTCCACAGTGTTCGTGTGCAGTGAAGTGGCAGGTTTCTGAGGGTGGGCTGCCATCCTGCCTGTGTCTTTTTTCCTTCCCGAGTTCCTTGGTTAAAAAGATTTTATGATCCTTGATCACTAATTAAGTAACTTTTCAGCTTTTGCTTACATTTCAGACACAGCTTCCCTCCCCCTCGTTGTCAGATTAACCTCAAAACTAATCTCTGTTTTCAGACTGTTCTCTTCTTAAGAAGGTGTCGTGGTTACTATTCCACTTACTGCCAAGCGTTTGCTGCTGCTTTTCACATGAGAAATCCTATCTCTGTCTTTAACAGGGCTCTCAGTCTTGCACTTGGTATTTTAAACTGTTGCACCAAATACACAGTTTTCACATTTAGAATGGGTAAAGCTGCTCCTCTCCCCTGTGCCTCCTCCCCTCTCCTGTGCCATGGGAGGTCAGTGTGTATACAGGGCTGTGAGGAGTGTGTGTAGAGGAATAGACTATGGAGTAGTTAGCAAGTGCTTGTTCAGCCATGGCAAAGTTTTCATTCCATCCGTGGTACTTGCTCAGCCATTGATGTCTCTCCTTAAGCTCTCTGGCATTTGAGTATTTCTTGCAGCAGGCTGTTGATAGGAAGAAAATACAAAAAGTATTCTCACTGTATGGTGTGAGTGTGTACATTTGAGTTAGGTGTGCCATTAAATGGGTTTTGCTGGGCTTTTGACACATCCTCACTGGACATAGGATGACAGTGGCAATCTCCTTAGGCTTTTGGGTTTTTTGTCAAAGTGCACCAGAGAAATGGTAATCAAATTGACTTTTAAATATGTTGATGAAAATACTAAAGAGAAAATGTATATTTGGGTCTTGTCTATTCAAAACATAAATTCCTGTAGTCATGCCATACCTACTCAAACACAGTTTAGCCATGTGTGTGCTTACATAATTTTGCTGCAGTCTACTGTCAATGCAAGTAAAAAAACTGAACATTTTCAGGGGCAGTTTTTCCTTGAGTCAGAAGCAAGTACTAACTAAACTTACAACCAGAGCAGAAAGCAACAATGAGTATGGGATATAAAGGACCATATGCCTCCCAACCCCTGAAATTCATCCAGGTGTGAAGGGAAATGATTCTAAGATGTTTGGTCAGCAGAGAACTTAGTCACTTCAATGTCATTGTTCTTGCTTTCTGGTTGGCTTGTGGTCTCTCTGAATTTCAGGCTGGAAAAGATACTTGTGATGTTGCAATGCTACAGTACACATAGTGTTGTGCACTAAATAGCACAGCTTATCGTAGGTTTTTGAAAGATGCTCAAGACCAAGTTCTGTCTCACTTGCCTTTTTCCTGACGCCCATACTGATTTGATCCTGCTACATGTTCCTCCTCATAACTAATGGTAATAAAACACAACAGTAGGGGCTTTCAGATATGTATAGGCCCTTATAAATCTGGTATTTGCTTTCTTGCAGTTAAAAGCACAGTCAGGAAAGTAAGAATTAGAATTTCACAGTGCTGGCAAGTGATGAGCCTTCATGAGGAACAAGCACTTTCTAGGTCTGGTCTGTCCATCTCTGCCACTTTAACGCTGCAACCTACTGCCAGAGTGAAGCCTAGTGGGAAATGTAACAGTCATACAATACAGGAGTTTAGACACCCACTGAATAAATTCTAAACAATGAGCAGAGCAAAGGGTTAAGTTTACCTGGCTGAGAAGTGGAACAGAAGGGCTTGCTGTGGTAGACTTGCTACAAGGCAGTGACCAGAAGGATTACTTCTTTTTCCAAGCTGGCTTGTCGTTTTGCCAGGTCTGTTTAGCTGGGCTGTTGTACTAACTCCTCTCATTTCCTGGCAGATGCAGTGTGCAACACCTGTCTTACCTTCTTCTTTAACAAACGTCTTTGAAACGTGTTTGGATGATAACTGTCTATATGGAATGTTTGGTAAATGGGAATTAATTAAAGATGTGGAAGTATTTGTGTGATTAAGCTGGGCTTCTCAAAGGACCTGTCACATGCAGAGTCTGGTCGTTAACAAATGTAATGGGACTAGTGCTGTGACAGCAGCAAGAACTACCCTGCTGAGAAGGAGTTTATGTAGCAAATTATTACTTACTCATGCATGTAAAACCCATGTCCCATGCTTGGTGATGCTGAAGCTTTTGAGTTTGTCCATGGACTTAATGGGGCTGAGAATGCAAAGTCAGGTACCAGCTCCACTTTGAGATGTGTGGCGGTATGTTTTCAGAGGTGTTTGGGTTTTTTTCATTCAATAAAGTACACGTTTTATTTTCAATTACATATAAGGAATATGTCTTCTGAGTAGCTAAAAATAAGTATTTCAGTTATCATGCAGTACAGTAATGAGGGAAAAAAAGTAAATCCTGCTCAGTTCTGTGCTGTTGCAGAGTGGGAGCCTTTCACTGACAGGTATGCTTTTTACTTTTGCAGGATTCGTGTGCTGGTCAATGAAGGCTATGAAGACAGAATTCTGATTGCTCATGATGTGCATACTAAGAATAGGTTGATGAAATATGGAGGCCATGCATATTCACATATCCTTAAAAATATACTTCCTAAGATGCTGATTAGAGACATATCCCAAGACAAAATTGATAAAATACTCCTAGCAAATCCAAAGCAGTGGCTGACTTTTAAGTAGGAATAATGAATAAACATTCCTATTTTATAGGGAATCTTGATAAAATTCACTTTTATTTCAGGAAAGCAGTCATTTTAATACATGATTCTTTTCAGAGAAGCTGGAAGTTATTAGTTAGATGCAAACAAACCTATTATGATTTTTCTCTTTAATGAGAAAAACAAAATAATATATATCCTCTCTGCATTTTCTGCTTTCTAAAAGTCTGTTCATTAATAATTTACTGGATATGAGCCTACCTCCAAAATCTTTTCTATTGAAATTTTAAAATGATTGTTTCTACAGGGTAATCTAATACTACTATTAAATGTTACCCAAAGTATTATGGAAGGTGCATCACCTGGACTTTGAAGGAAATTACAGTTTTCAATTAAATTCTCCTTCTCCAGGGGGTGATTTTAATCCTTGTAATATTGACAATGTTCTAATTATCCTTGTATTCTTTAAATAATGCTTGCTGAAAGGTCTGTGACTTTTACATAGCTTCCACAGACAACAGAAGGCAAAAAGAATCTCAAGTAATTCTAAAAAGATACTGTTTCTTTCTAGTTCATCAACTTATTTTTAACTGAAAGTGCAAAAAATACTCTGAAAATATATTTCTGAATAAAGCAATTTAATGACTTCTTAAACTGTGTGTGTTATTGTGGATGTCCTTTTTTAATTGCATCAGTTTTTTATCCTGAACTTTTGGGATCTCACAGCAATCATGTGAAACTTCATGCAGACCAGCTTCTTTTTGTAAGGAGGCAACACCAAAAGTCAAAATGTATTACATAATACAGTTTTAATGAGTTGTAATAGTTATAACAAAGGTTGTGATATAAGTCTTTACAAATCAGTATATCAAGATATGATGAAAAAGGAAGAAATGTTTGCCTTCTATGTGTTTTTCACATAAAGTGTGTTCTTTGCTCTTGTCTAACTTTAACCAGGGCAGGTGATTTATCCAAAAAATGGTCTTATCCTGTAGCAGTGGTAGCCTGATTTCAAAAGCTTCCTCAACTTGGACCTTATATGTCTGGTAGTATTAAACTTTTCCAATAAATGCCTTAGTAAATACACATTGCTAGTCGTAAAGGATCTCTAGCCTGCTACGTTACTGTTGAATACTACGTAGAGAATCTGTAGCTGCACTGCTGTCATGAGTGTGATAATCAATGAAAGCAACTGTGGTACAAACAGACATGAAGTCAGTTACACACCTGTTAATAAAATACATTACCTTGTAGGAAGGAAAAAACAGGAGTAATCACTACAATGTGTGGGTATAGGTTGGCACTTTGTCATAAAGTAAAAGTGTTACCGTCCTGGTGAGATAATACACAAGCGATTGGCAGCACAATGTCCCTTTATAAATCCTAGCTGAGTTAGACTGGATCTGTCAGCCTAGACTGATTTGTTTTGTACAGGACAACTCAAAACAGAAAGAGTAACACTTTCTGTTTAAAATAAGCTTAACTCATTCAAATGAGATTTTTAGGGAGATTCATAAAACCTTTTACTGAGCAGCCAGCACTGAAGAGCTTTTTTGTCACAGTGGCAGACACCTTTGACATCTTCATACAGATAAATCTGAGTCTGTACCCTTAGTACATTAGACAAGGTTGCTTGTGGCAAAGTTCATGAAACAGAAATGCTAGGGGTAGCTTCTATTACTCTTTAACAAGTTACGAAAATGTTACCTTGATTTGGCCAAAATGTTAAACAACGTAACCAACTGTGCTAAGGAGCTAGTTGATTATCCTGCTATAATTTAGGTTTAGAATTAAATCTGCAAGTTTTAACCTGAGAGAAATAGACAGCCTCCCCTCCCCAAACCAAAACAAATAATAAATCCATTTTCTGAATAAAAATACTCTGTGGATATTACTGGTATGACTGATTTTAAAGCATTTTTATAACTATGTAACTCATAGTGCCTGTGTTCAGTTTAATTCCTCAAGCTATTAATCCTTTCTATGGATTAAACTTCTTTGAGACTTTATATATATCTCTCTATATATATATGAATGAGAAAAATAGGTTTCAATACACACTTTTTTATTTTTTTGCATGTAAATATCTGCATCTTTCTTTGCATATGTGTTATCATTTTTGGTAATATGCTTATTTGTGTCCATCTCATAGGCACACCTTACTACAAACCGCTAACTAGCTACCATGGCAAAGGTCTGTGTGACAGCATTTTCTCACATGTCAGATCTCCTACTCTTCCTTTGTGGGAATAAGCCCACTAATGTCAGTGAGACAAGACACCTAAGACAAGTAATGTTTTGACCCATTATACTCCTACGAAATTCTAGTAGAACATCTGCAGTATGTTAAGTCATAACTATCTTATTAAAAATAGTACCCGAGTACAGACTAAGTGCTAAAAGACTAGTAACAACTAATTGCTGCAAAGAAAACACTCTACCTTAGTCTGAGGAAGTGGGTGCCAGCCTTGCTAAATATTTACAGAACTAACCATTGAGAATGGGCCTGTAAGAATTGTCTAGATATATATTTACACGTTTACAATTTAAAGGCCAAATCGTCTTTTTTTCCACTAATATCAATGGGAGTTTTGCCATTGGCTTTGGTGGAATCAGGGATTTGGTCCAATAGAATTGTTTATATTCTATTTTATACAGCTATATTTTTCAGGAAGGAAGAAAAAAGATGTGTTTCTTCTATCTCTTTCTTTCAGAACACAGCTAAGGGGAAGACAAAATTTAAACAGCTCCACCGGGTTGATATGATGTTAAAAGTTTAATGTAAACCTACAAAGCAGGAACATTGAATTAAGGCTTGAATCTGATTGGTTTTTAGTTGTACGTGGAAGGATAAGAAAAGTACAAGGCAAACAATTCCTTTGGAGAGAGAAAGTATATTTTGATTACCCCTTCCTTTTATTGGAAAATCATTCCTCATCACACTATGAGTTGACTCCAAGCATCATTGTTAGCAAGTAAGTCACAAGAACCAAAGCTGAAGTATGGATAAAGCAGCAAGATCATAACACATCGAAGTATCATATACACTGAAAAAATACCTCAGCGTCCTTAGGTGGCGTTTTATTTTTCTATAAAAATTTGCTCTATGTAGGACTTCATTCACATGGACACTGACAATGAGGACGTATTCGCTTTGGCGGTAGTGGATTGCACATCTGTTTTTAACTTGTTTTGTAATTTTTTAACATAAGGTTTCTCTGTGTTGTACAGATGTGAATCAGGTAGCATTCGACTTTTTCCCCACGCTACCAAGGTGTTTGATGGTCGCTCTCTGCTGGGGTGCTTGTTTCATTGACTTTTGCCACACAAATCCATTGCTTAGAAGAGCAAGCTTCATTTTTGGACTGGTTTGGCGGGTCTGTTTTACTTGTTATCAGTCAGCATAAATAATAAATCCAGAAAATGTGCTGTATTTGTTGTTGTTTCCTCCATGTGCTTTTCCTCCATCTAATTTAATGTAAACTTCATCTCCTGGCTCCAGATGAAGAACCACGCTGTTACTGGCGTAGTCGTAGTTCTGATCGGCATCCTGAGCAATCGCACTAGCTCGAACCTGCATAAAATGCATAATCAGTGGTTAAGAAAACTCGGATAATTCTTCCTGCATGGTGAAATTAAAGCATATCCTCAATGTTTTATTCAGCATGCACAAGTTGCCACATGAAATGGCTGGCAACATACACTGTAGTTCTTTCCTATGGTTATTGCTTATTTTCTCCTACAATACAACATCTGAAATGAAAGCAGTAACTGAGAACTGTCCTTTCTCAGTCATCTTATTAACACACAACCACCACCTGCACTCCTGTAGATGTTTGGAGCCTTTTTTAATACATGCGGAATAACAGCTGGAGTTGGGACACCTGAATCTGGTCATGTGCCAGTTTTACATTGGCATAGCTTTTCTTTGAGTGGGATGAGTGATTGACACTGGTGAGGATCCACAGTGAGGCCCTGTTGATAATACCAGGCTGGACTTTTCCCAGAGGCGATTTATTGTCAAACTACTAATGGCATCATGCTGCAAAAAGAATACAAAACATCCGCACCCACCTGCATGCACACTCTCAATTGCACACAAAGCAGGTAAGGAGCCCAGTCAGGGTTTGGGGAAACTGCTATTGCCACATTTCAGTGAACAAACATTTAATTTCAGTGTGGTTTAAGAGATGCACATTTGCAAAATCACAGGAAGTTGCTATTCGCTCTAGGAGGTTTTGGAATTTACAAGTCACTGAGGACTTCTCATTTGCAACTTTCACTTAAACCTGATCTTTTTCCCCCATTCCTCCCATGCTATTCTGCTACTGATTACATTTGACATTACTAGCAAATGAGGTAATCTGTGATTTTGAGATGCATGTTGGTTTCCAGCAATGCATAGCCCACTGCCATTGCGAGTCTCCAAATCATTTATATATAATTTGACCCTGTTCAGTAAAATATTTAAACTTAGCTATATGTGATATATTTCAGTGTAACACATCAGCTTGTTGCTTGGCTTTGTTCTAGCGTAGTTACAGAGCAGTAAGTGATTTAGTGGTACTGCAAACCTGAACTAAGTAATAATGCATGACTTGGTGTACTATATGTGGGATTTTATCTGTTCTGAATTGAAAAAATAGGCTATAACTCACAATTTTCAATGGATTCCTTTCAAAGTTTAAATGATAAATTTCCAAATTAAATTTTCATGTGATAGGATTTCACATTAATACTGAAACGTTCTTTTACCATGCGGGCTTTTATGGCATTATGCAGCTGAAAAAATCACAGTAGGTGGAAATTCTTTATACATCCTGTAAGGAGAGGGAGAAAGGCTTACAAGGCTTGCAAGGGTGTGACAGGCTGCACATTTAAACCGATACATGGCACGATGGTAAACCCCGACTCTTTCAGGACTTGATCCTGAACTGCCTGGAATTGTTTACAGAGGCGAGCTATTTTGCTGGTGTTTAAGCAATAATTATTCTAAGCTCTGGGTATTTCCTCTGGATTAAT